AAGTACTTCAATGATTTGCGATCTGTTTTATCAAGAAAAGAGTAAAATCGCATGAATTTATCAATAAATCACCTGATATAATGATAAATGTTAATGATTAGCATTGTTGCAAATGACAGTATAAATATACTATATATTATAAACAGAATAAATTGAAGAAAAAGCCACGCAACTTGTAACTAGGTTTTCTACTTTTATTCGAACGTTTCGGCACTTCGGCTTTCTTCAGCAAACTGAAGTTTGAGAGTTTGCTGAAGAAGGCCGAAGTGCCGAAACGTTCGAATAAAAGTAGAAAACCTAGTTACAAGTTGCGTGGCTTTTTCTTCAATTTATTCTATTTATACATTCAAAGAAGACACCTTGGAATCCTTTGAATCCTTGTGGCTAGACGTGGTAGTTTGGCCAAGACAATTATTTTTACAATTTTCTATACTATATATTATAAATAGAATAAATGAAGAAAGAGCCACGCAACTTGTAACTTGGTTTTCTACTTTTTATTATATTACTTTTTACTATATATTATATATATATCAAAATCAGTGTTTTTTTTGCAATCGAGCGTATTACATAGAGAAAGAATATTTGGAAATACTGATCTTTCATTATAAGAATTTAAAAATCCTAAATAATGGGAGAAATATTGTAAATTTGATCGTCGTAATGCAGGAAAACGCAATAAACTACACTTAGCTTTTTTTTAACAATGACTATAACTGTAAAACCGTTGTAATCACGATAAAATAAAACAACAAATGACACCACAATCGATGTTATTAGCCGAACTGCGTGGCATCAATATCAACAAAATAAGAAGCATTTTTCTTAATTCACTCATTAAACAACGCGTTGTTCAAAACCCATTTTGAGAATAATCTTAACGTGTGTGGGATCACCTATGTCAACCCTTATTGCTATCAATGGAAAGTAAATTGAAAGTTGGATGCATAATGAATGAATGCATGGCTTTTTTGGGTAAAATCCATCTGTTTGATTTCAAACAATTCAGCTCAAAAACCACAGACGTTTCGGGATACTATTGTTTCTCTGAGAGAAAAAAACTCTATGAATGGCTTGGAAAAAGCGGACATTTACTAAAATATCAAAAAGTAGCAGTTTCTAACTAAATGTTAAACCACAGGAAGCCCAATGACTCGATTGCCCAATAGACCTAATCGGCTTCAACCCAATTCAAACCACCCGGGAGTAAGTTTCATTGTTCGTTGTATTTTCATTTCACAGTTGAATTCTTAGAAACAAAAGTTTTTTTCCCACAGGATTTGAATTGGGTGCCAACGTACATAGCAACGCCGTTAGCCGATTAGGTCTATTGCCCTTCAAATATAGATTTCTCCACAGTCTCCTGCTCGACTTTTAGACTTCTTACAATTAGACTTTCCCACAGTCTCTGTTATGTTTGTTAGCCAGCTAGTTACTGGAACCCCTTTCAAGGCCTGGTTACCTGGCCGTGGGTGCCATCTTGTTTTCATGTAATGTGTGAGGACTCTTTGGTCGTTTAATAAATACCACAGGCCGAAACCACTTGATTGAGTTCCTTTATACACATTTATACACATACTGACGACCACGGACGACGAGGATGTGATGCTGACAAGCTCTGAGTATTTTCAACAGCAATAATCACCTAAACCCCTAGAAATTGCCGAAGAGCCCCATTTTACCAGCGTACAGAGAAAGTGAAAACATTCATCAATTCATGGCCTCATTAAAACGAATGACTGAGCACTGCAGCTTTGAGGCGTTTTTGCCTTACGACCGTTTTGTTTGTGGATTGTCCAACAAAACTATTCAGATGAGAAGAAGCTTTTGTGTGAGCATGATCTTACACTCGAGAGATCCACAACCACCCAACATACAGTCATCTCTGAAAGTCAAAAACTGGAAGTCAACCAACCAATCCAAAACTGTCAAAGATGCGAGA